CTTCTCCTACTGGGGATTACTAATGGGCGAAGGATCTCAGTAGCCGAGAGGGGCTCAGGGACTCATCCACGAGATGCTGTTACCCCAAAGACCATAAGCCACCCTTACTCTCAGGACAAGGGAAGATCGCCATTCCCCAAGCCACGGTCATTGTATAGAGCAGCATGTAGAGAGTCCCAAGTACACAGTAACCTTTAGCTACTCACAAGACCACATTCCTTTCCTATGTAGACTCACCCTCTTAGCTGTAGACTACCCCAGAGATAACATAAGTATTTCACTTTAGTATATACTAACCTTGTCTTTACTAAACCAGACAGAATTTATTTCTAGGCTCTTGTAATTACTGCCACCCTAGCCTGAAGCTGAAGTTCTCAAAAGCTGACCTGAGGCTCAAATCTGGGACTAAAGTAATCAAGCTGGTCTGGGACTGAAAATTCCTGGAGACCCTCTCATCTGAAGACCCTCCCTGGTAATCAAGATCTAAGAAGAAGATGCACCCAAAAAATGGACTTCCTCGTTCTAAAAATTATGACTGTTTATACCTAAACAAAACGGATGCCATGTTTTATGATTATTGATCCTATACTTTGAATGCCTTGCCTTTTAGAGCAAAATGTTTCACTTATTTCCCCTCACCCATCCCACTGCTGTAAAACTCCTTCTATAATAAATACGCATGACTTCTGGCCATCAGGGCTGCAGTCTGGAGTTTACTCTGGCTGCAGCCGGCTAAGAACATGCTAAGGGCATGAGGTCTTAGTCTGATTCCTGTTCACCCGCGTCGCCTCCCTGTGCACCCACCCCGGCTGGGGTACGGCTCCCGGCACTGTTCCAAAAGCATGTGCACAGTTCTAGACATCTGTGTAACAACACAGTCCGTTTTGCTAGTTTACCATAGTTTGTTACTGCATTGCTGAATAGGAATATTCGAAACTGGGTAGTTTGTATAGAATACGTGGATTATTTGGCTTATGATTCTGGTGACTAAAAAGTGTGAAAACATGGCCTGGCATCTAGCTGGCCTCTGGCTATAGTCACAGTGTTGCCCAGAGGGGCAGTCAAGTCAGTAGCTACCTGCAGAGAAAGAGAGGGACGGAGACCAAGAGAGAGAGAAAAAGGACAAGGGAACAGACTCTTCTACTTTCTCTGTTTCTCCCATCTTCCAGATGACTGGATGGTACCCTCCCATTAGGCCCTGCCTGTGAAAGGTCTCATCACCTCCCAAAGTTACTGGCGACCAAACTACTAGATCAGGAACCTTTGGGTGACAACCTTTTGTACAAATCATAGAAGCCAAGCTTTAATTATATCAAGAGCCACACTTAATATGCTTATAGCTGACCTTTCAGTAGCTTTTTGGTAATGAAACGAACTCACTTTTTGTTGTGTATTTTTTCTTGAAAGCATTTCCAAGAAACCTAAGAGTGATGATTCACAGCCTACGTCAGGTGGTGACATCTTAGGTCCCGATACCAAGGTAACATGCTGTCTCATCAAATTAAGTTTCTTTCATTGAAGGTCTGGATTTGGTTTTGAACAATATCCTTGCAGGCATTTCCAAATCTTTAATAGATTCAATACTCGCTTATCATAGTAATCATGGAGTCTTCCTGGTACCTTTCAGTTTCAAAACTGTACAGAAAACAGTACACACACACACACACACACACACACACACACACACATCTTGAGAGTTTTTGCCATGGAGGCATGTGATTGCCAGAGAGATGAAAAGAGACAGTGAAAGGGAAAGTGAAAAATCAGCCCCTGTGGGGGATGACCATGCCACAATCCCCTTTTCTCCATTCTCTTCTCAAGAGTTTGGGCACACATGCACATGCACCTGGTATGATTTTCAAGTCACCAGCTCTGGGATTTGATCCGCAGTTGAATGTGGGGGTCTAGTGCATTAACCTGCTGTCCCTACTACCACATAGTTTAAGAGAGCACATTTTATCTATTTCTATCCTTTGTTTTGTATTAAACTAAAATAATATTTGAAATGATAGAAATTTAGAAATTTAAATTCTCTTTCACAAAACTGGTATCACAAAGGCATTCCATTGTGTTCTCTAGGTCATTCCATTAAAAGTATATTTAAAACTCATTTAGGGCCAGCAGATGGCATGGTGGTTAAGGTGCTGGATCCCACATCACTAACTCTACGGTTTGAGTCCTAGACTCAGTGGCTTGGAAAATCGCTGGGTGTATATGCATGCATGTCCATAATCCCAAGAGAAAAATGGAGAATGGACTATAGCATGGCCATTTCCACTGGGGGAAGGGGTGATTTCTCATTTTTATTTTACTCTCTCTCTGGTGAAGACTAGATTTTTGCACTATGACAAAAATCTAAAACAAAACAAAATACAAAACAACTCTTCATTTAATTGAAGAAGGCATGTTGTACACAAAATACACAGTTCTAGAAGCAGGATCCTTTCTCTAAAAATGCTTTAGGCCATGTATACTTGCTGAAGAGAGAAAGCGAGAATGAGAGAAAACACCCCTCAGGGGGGATGACCGCACTGCAATCCCTTCTCGTTTTGGGATTTTGGGCCCACACGTACTTGCACCCTGCATGGTTTTTAAGCCACTAGGCTGAGACTGGAGCCACATAGTCAGCCACTTGAGAATCCAATGCCTTAATCACTACTTGCTGGCCTCAAGAGTAACATTTTTGGGGATATTCATATCATCTCTCATAAACCTTATCCCGGTTCGTGGGAAATGAAATTGAAGTATGGGTTTATTTTGGTGATAAAGTATTTTGAAAAACCCATGCCTTTTTTTTTTTGTAATACATATTTTAAAGAGCTTTTTGAAGACCCCCTTCCTTCCTATTGGTAATGGTGTAACTCATCTGCTTATTGTGTTGATACCTATCACATGAAAGGAAAGCTCCCGCGCTAGTGTGACATGTCTTTTGTGGCTTATCCCTGTCTCTCTCTCCATTCCATTCCCAGTACCACATGACTTTGGCTTTCCTCGTTTGCTGTGTAGTTTCATGCCTTGTCCACTTGCTCACGCTGCCCTGTCTAGGATACCCTTCATGCCCCTCCACAGTTCCTCTATCTTTCAAAATATGGCACTGTCTTCGCAGGGTTTCCTGAGCATCTGCAGAAGAACTAGCTGTCCTCTCTTTGTGCCCTTACTGTACTTTGTTCCCGTCAGTTGTAGAACTGAAGAATTATACCTTCCTCTTCTTATTTGTCTTTATGCATTTCTGCCTCCATTTGAATACAGGGCAGAATTTGCTTTGAGTTTACACTTTCAGCTTCTACCAGGATAGTACCTAAAACTTGGTAGACTCAGTAAGTGTGTGTGAGCTTCCTGACTGACGGACTGAGTGAGTAGGTCAGTGTGTGAACAAATAGTCATACATTGCTTAATGATGGGGATGTGCTGTGAGAAGTGGGTTGTTAGGCAGGTCCTCCATTGTGTGAATATCATAGCGTATACTTACACAACCCTCTGTGGCACAGCCTACCTCACACCCAGGCATGACAGAGACTCTGCTCCTTATGAGACCACTATTGTACATACGGTTTGCTGGTAAATGAAATGTTCTTATGTGGCACCTGCTTGCAATGTTTTCTGAAGTTCTTTTGCTTGTTTGTTTTCATAGGAAGGAGCAAGAATACCAACATCTGCAGGAAAAGGAAATGGTATCGTTATTGAACAAGAGCAAATAAAGAAAGATGATCTCACTGGTGACAGAGTGAGCAAAATAGATGAACAATGTAAGTCATTGAATATCGGAAAAAAATTCTGTGCTTAAATGCTATTGTAAAAAACAAGTGTACAGGGACCAGCAGTTGGCGTAATGGCTATGTCGCTGGACTCCCACGTAGTCAACTGTGGTTCGAGTCCTGGACCCAGTGGCTTAAACTCACGCCGGGCGCGTGTGCATGCGTGCCCAAGATCCCGAGAGGAGAATGGAGGAGAAGGGATTGTGGTGTGGCCATCCCCCCTGGGGGGTGATTTCTTGCTTTCTGTCTCTCGGTCTCTCTCTGTCTTTGTGGTGAGCGCATGTGCCCTTTAGCAAAAACCTCACCAAAAACAAATAAACAAACAAAAAAACAAAAAAAACAAGTATACAGATCTATATATGACATTAAAAAAATTTTTTTTTCTACCTTTCTTTATGTTACCAACCTCTTGAATCTACTCCAACATTCTGGAAAAAAGTTTTTGCTATTACTTTTATTTTATTGAAAATTTCATGAATGAACATAGACATGTGTATGTATTTTAAAATTATAGTAATAAATGTTCTCATGTAACATACCTGTGACTACATTTTATAGCTGCGAGCTCCAAATTTGGAACAGGAGATGAGGAAACAGAATCATCTGGGGAGTCTGAGGTACTGTCTATGTTGTTATTGTTTTTAAAGATGAGCATTGAGTGATGTTAAAACATGGAAGAAGGTGTTTTTGCATTTCTTTTTCACTTCTGTTTTTATGTCCAGGAGGAATTATTTCTTTACATTTTCACCTCATAATTAATAATGTAGTGATGTGCTAGTATTACTGCTGCATAGTACAGTTGTCCTAATTTGCAAAATTCATTTAATGAAGTCGGTAGAGTAGTGTGCAGAAAATTCATGCTTAGAGGTCATAAGAAATCAGATTACTTTCTAAAGTTTATCTAAAGCCTAAAGAATTATTCAGTACGTGGCCAGATTATGAATCTGTGGTATATATGGATATATAACTGTCCTAATAACTAACGCAGTTAAAACAGTCATGTGAATTTCTAATTTGGGATATTCTAAATTTCAGTAGACAGTTACTGGAGGGTCCTATAGGAATACAGTGATTTGACACCTGAGACCTTCCTACTGAGTTTTGTTTTGTTCTAAGTTTTTGCGCTAGGGCACATATGCTTGCTGGAGAGAGACATACAGAGGGAAAGTGAGAAATCACCCTACCACCCCAAGGTCTTCTCACAGTCCCTCCTCCTCCATTCTCCTGTAGAGATTTTGGGCATGCACGCGCATGCACCCAGCATGGATTTTAAGGTGCTAGGTCTGGGATTCAAGCCATGGTCAGCCATGTTGGATTTCAGTGCCTTAACCACCGCTCCACCTGCTGGCCCCTCTGAAGGAGTTTTTAAAAGGTTTGACCTTGAGTAAATGTCTGTTACTGAATACTAAGGATGTGCCTAGACAATTAGATATTGAATGTGCAAGATGAAGGCTTATGATAATAGAGGTATGGATGGAAAAACAGTAGCAAACACTTACAGGAAACAGTGTGTCATAGTAAAAAAAAAAAGAAAATATTCGGTTAGATGATGTCAAGGGAGTTTGTAATTATGATGGGGATGGAGTGGGAGTGGAATTCTCTAGTCAGAAAAGATCCGAGGGAGCTAGCTATGTAAAAGTCTAGGAGGAGGGTGTGCTGGGGAGAGAGAACTGTTCTAATGGATCACATCCATTCATTATTTTACTCTAAATACCTTGAAATGACCAGGGAGCAGGAAGTGGGGTTCTCATCATCATGATAATTTTCATTGTTATTATGTATAGACAACAAAATCTACAGATGAATGTGTGGCTTATTTTAGGTGCTTATTAAGTAAAAGATCTTGCTCTTCCCTTCTTATGTAAGGCTTGTTAAACTTTTTTGAAGTGATTTCTTAATTGGGAAAAAACTGCATACTATGGAATACTACTCTACCATTAAACAAAACAAAACAAAAAACAACCCAGCTTTTTTTTTAATATATAATTTTTTTAGAGGTTTTTTGCTATAGGGCGCGTGTGCTCACCAGACAGACAGAGAGAGACAGAGAGACAGAAAGCGAGAAATCACCTCCCGGGGGGATGGCCACACCGCAATCTCTTCCCCTCCATTTTTTTCTCAGGATCTTGGGCACGCATGCACACGTGCCCGGTGTGAGTTTAAGCCACGTATGGAGGAATGGATTGAAAAACTGTGGCACATATACTCTATGGAATACTACTCAGCCATAAAAACCAACAGAACCCTGGCTTTTGATAGAAATTGGAAGAATATGGAAGATGTACTGCTGAGTGAGTCAAGCCAGGCTATGAAGGAGAGACACTGTATGTCTCCACTGAACATATAGTGACTGGACTGTTCACACTCTACGGCTGAGACTAAACGATTAGAGGATATAGAAATGTGGAAAATGGTGACGGATATGAGATATAGTGAGTAGAGAGTGGGGGAATGAGGAGAGTCTGAGGAAAGACATTAAGGAGAAAAACAGAGAGGCAAGGCATTTAGAGGACACAGAAATAGATTATTATCTGTTCATGATAACATGTAATAGTATCCCCAACTGGACTGGTTTGAAATGCATTCATGTTGGAAAATTCCTTTTATAAGCTAAGTGATGTTATAGTGATAGAATGTATAAAAGAAATCAAAATAAAATAGAAAAATTCCTATTATTTAAATATAATGTAATATTTTTACAGCTTTGTCATTATACTCAGCCAGTTTTGCCAGCAG